CAACTGGACCAATAAGCAACATGATGATAAATGGAGAAAATATTGAAGTTGTCAAGGATTTCATTTTCCTTGGATCCACAATCAACACCCATGGAAGCAGCAGTCAAGAAATCAAACGACATATTGCACTCGGCAAATCTGCTGCAAAAGACCTCTTTAAAATGTTAAAAAGCAAAGATGTCACTTTTGAGGACTAAGGTGCGCCTGACCCAAAGCCATGGTATTTTCAATCACCTCATATGCATTTGAAAGCTGGATGATGAATAAGGAAGACCAGAGAAGAATTGTTGCATTTGAATTATGGTGTTGACAAAGAATATTGAATATACCATGGACTACCAGAAGAATGAACAAACCTGTCTTGGAAGAAGTACAGCCAGAATGCTCCTTAGAAGTGAGGATGACAAGACCTCATCTCACGTACTTTGGACATATCAGGAAGGACCAGTCCCTGGAGAAGGACATCATGCTAGGTAAAGTAGACGGTGAGCTAAAAAGAGGAAGACCGTCACCTAGATGAATTGACACAGTGGCTGCAACAGTGAGCTCCAACATAGCAACGATTGTGAGGATGGCACAAGAATGAGCAGTGTTTTGTTCTGTTGTACATAAAGTCACTCTGAGTTCTAAATGACTTGATGGCACCTAACCACAAAAACAACAACAACTACAACGAAAAGACAGACACCTCGATTTGGAAGTGGACGAAGGATGTGAACAGACATTTCTTCAAAGAAATTATACAGATGGCCAATAAGCGCATGAGAAGATGCGCAACATCATTAGTCGTTAGGGAAAATGCAAACCAAAACCATAATGAGATACCACCTCATACCCAGTAGGGTGGCTATTTTTAGAAAAGTGGAAAATAACAAGTATTGTCAAGGATATAGAGGAATTGGAACTCTCGTACGTTGCTGGTGGAAATGTAAAATGTCGCAACCACTGTTAAAGTTAAACATAGAGTTACCGTATGACCCAGAAATTCCACTCCTATGTATAAACCGAAAAGACTGGAAAGCAGGGACTCAAGCAGATACTTGTACACTAATATTCATTGCCGTATTATTCACAATAGCCAGAAGCTGGAAAAAATCCAAGTATCCATCAACAGACGAATGAATGAACAAAATGTGGTATATCCTTACGATAGGATGTTATTCAGCCATGAAAAGAAAGGAAGCTCTGATAATATGCTACAACATGGGTGAACCCTGAAAACATTATGCTGGGTAAAATAACTCAGATACCAAAGGACAAATGTTGTGTGATCCCCGTTACGTGAAATACCTAGAATAAGTAAATGGGTAGAGACAAGAGTTTATTGGTGGTTGCCAGGGGATGGGAGGTGGGGAGAATACAGGGTTGTTGCTTGAGGGGTTTTGAGTTTCTGTTTGGGGTGACGGGAGACTTTGGAGATGGATAGTGGTGGTTGCACAACATGGTGAATGTAATTAATGTCACTGAATTGTACACTTACAGTTGGTTAAAATAGCAAACTTTTTGTTGTATATATTTTACCACAATTAAAAAAAAATTTTTTTAAAGATTGAAGTCATAGAGATGATGGAATAAAGGCGTTTTCATCCCACTGTCTTTCCTTGGAAATTGTATCAGAAAATGGAGATGAAAACTCCCATTATCAATAGAAGAAAAAGTAGTCACAAACCAGAAATTACTATGAAGTTCTACCCCAACCTGTACCATTTGGACCCAAGCACAGTAAGATGCTACAATACATCTTCAGGCCTTGGGATGAGTGCCATTTTCTCTAGTGTCACAGTCCTGAAGGGCCCATCCAGAGACTCTTAGATTGGAGTTACAAGTAGGTTGTACAGGGAAGAAATGGGGACTGCTACTTGGAGATTGCAAGGGAAACTGCCAGACGAGAGGCTAGTGAAGGAGAGAAGGTTAGCAGCAACGACCAGATCCCAACAACGAGAGGCAGTAATTCAAGGAGCTTCTCTGAGAGCCACACTTCCTTTCTAAACCCTGAAAACCAAAAGGAGACTTCTATCCAGGACAGAAGGCATTACAAATTTGATGAGGTGTTCAAGACAATACATCCAAATTGCAGTGTTCTGCTTTATTTCTCTCCACTCTAATCTGCAGCTAATGGTCTTAGTAGAACTGCCCCCATTCAAAGATGATTAACTGGAAAGGGGCCAGCAGAGGACGGTTGCATAGATACAGAGGGTAGAGTGGTGAGCAGTGGGAATGATGGATGAGGGGAAGGAAAAGAGAAAGGGGAGAAACAGATGAAAACACCCATTAGAAGGGGAATTCACCCAGGAAACTGAGGAAGAGTTCAAAGGGGAGGGGCAAATTCTCCATCTGCTCCGAGAAATTGCAGACAGTATTCTCTCTCCAAAACAAGAACTTAAAAGGGAGCTGTAAGAGGGGTTTTCTACAAAATAATTGACATGTTCTTTACAATTGCCATTTTCCATTAAACTCAAATAAAGGTTAATTTAATGTTTGCTATAATTTTAAAACCACATACACAGTATTTGGACCCCATGTCAAAAATTACTGCCATTTTTCTACCTGTGTATAGGCACGAGACATATCTGAAATGATGTTTACCAAACCTGTATACTGGAATTTTGAAATTTTTTGTACTTTTTGTATTTTTTTTTTTTTAATTTACCATTTTCACAAACATGAGAGCATAAATCCAAACCACTTTGATACACAATCGTTATTCTCCTTTCAAAGAGGGGCTTCAGGGAGAATTATATAAAAATTTGATTAAACCATATCGAATTGCTATTTTTACCTTCAAAATATCAATTTCGTGTGATTCATTCTAGTAGAAAGTGCAGACAGAAGAACAGACTTGGAAATTAGAAGCTTGCTTTTTTTCCGAGGACCACTAGAATTGGCTTTTTAGTCAGGAACACATCCTTAGGTCAGCAGTGAAGTGCACCACGGTCATCATCTCTATGTTCCTGCCCTGATTTGGTGGTAGAGGCAACTGGTATCCTCCCAGGCTGGTTTTCAAATGACATGCACATCCTTTCCACACCAGCCCACAAGCCGAAGAACAAAGGCTTAACCACATCTACTAGTGACCCTCTGGGAAGTGAAAAGAAAGATGAAAAATGGTTAGCTGCTGGAGTTTCCCCATTTGGGAGGAGAGATCAGGAGAGATCTCAGAGGAAGCCAGTCTCCACAAGCCAGTTGCTTAAGAAAGTGAAGAGTGTGGGTTTTGGAGACAGAAACCAAACCCAGCCCATTGCCATCAAGTTGATCTGACTCGTGGCAGTCCCGTGTGTGACAGAGTTGCTCCATAAGGTTTTCTTGGCTATAATCTTTATGGAAGCAGATTGCCAGGGCTTTTTTCCGTGGCACTGCTATGTGAATTCGAACCACCAACCTTTAGGTTAGCAGTAAAGTACAAGCCGTTTACACCACCCAGGAACCTTAGAGTTTAAATCCTGGTGCCACCAAGCACCTGCTCCTTAACTCTCCTGAGTCTCAATTTCTTCATCTATGAAGCAAGATGTTAAATTCCATCAGCTGTTGTGAAGATTAAATGAGATAATGCATAGGAAGTACTTTGTACATTGCCTGGCTTATATAGCAAGTGCTCAAAATATGTTAGTTATTAGGTACTACCGTTATGACTCTCCTTCACCCCAATCCTTAGCAAGATCAGAGAGCTGGGAACACCAATTCTGCAGGTGTTCCTTCATGAGCACATACCAGACAAGAACAGAGGAACCTGTAGGGTGTTTTTACCCACCTGGCTAAACACCTGCTTTATCAAGAAAACCCGCTCGTTTATTCCCGTAAAAGAGACTTTAATTAAACCCTGGACTGTCTGCCTGGACTTCAGGTGCATGGTCACCTCTACTACCTCCACCCACATCACTTCTTAGACAAAAAGTGACAACAGAGAGCGCCATTCAAACTGTATATAGGTGTCCCCAACTTACGACGTGTTAGGACGAGCTGTACTTAACCGTGTGTTTTTTGTTTTTGTACATCTTATTAGTCATACGTACTACATACAGTGTTGCAGCGTGTAATTTGCTGATGTTCACTGACAGATATTCCATTTTATGATTCACTGTTCAAAACAGTGCTGTGTAGATTTAAATCAGGGGTTTCGGTTGTTTGACAATATGGACCCAAATGCGGATGGCTTTCCTGGAGTCAATAGGCAGATTCAGTAAGCAGTGAGATGTTACTGCGAAATGTATGACGTATAAAAAGGAGCATACAACTCTCACCAATTTTCTTACTATAGAAACACCATCCCCGTTCCCAGGGATAATCCAGATGATCCAGAACCTTCCGCAAGTAGAGTTATTACCAAAACTGACAAAACGTCAATGTCATCCAACTCTTCATCGTCAAGTAAATTTTTATGATTTGTGAATTTTTTTATGTATGTATGTATGTATTAAATAAAGATACTGATAATGAAAACTTAAAAAAAAAAGGTATTCAATTTACATCAGAACTGACTTACAGTAGAGTCATCGGAACGGAACTCCATCATGAGTTTGGGACGACCTGTATTCTCATAGCAGAAGTAGAATTTGACCCAATCTTTAGTAAACTGACAAGGAATCTCAGCTAATCTGTGTGAAAACAAGGTCCAAAATTACTGTCAAATTATTTCAGCACTACCAGTAACCCCTTTCCTCTGGCAGAAAATGGCAGGAAAGCTTGGTGTCCATTGTAATTCTCAGGCTGCTTCTTTCTGCATTTTGAGCTAGGTTGTTAGGATGCACTTTTGAGGTTATCTTTGGTGTTCCCCAAGCACCAGCCGGACCACAGGTCCTCCCTGAAACTGAGCATCGAATGCCTCCCGGAGGGTGGATACTGCCTTGTGCCCCCACACATCGGGGATCAGCGATGGTCACAGAAAGCGTTCCTTTGAGAGTAGAACTGTTCATTTAACGTTTCAAAATGTCATGGTGATAGAAGCCAAGCCGCTTTTGCTCAGTGTTGATCACGTGTCATTTATTTGGATGTTCACATTTTAGGCTCCGGACGGCCTGGGACCGGTCCCGATTAAGGCTTCAGAAGTTCAAATCAAGCAGTCCTATTCCTTCCTCGATTTGCAGGTCAGACCTGTTATTATGGTATTTGTTAACTGGGTTCCATCTGAAGCAAACAAATATTCTTGAATTTCCATTACAGTATTTTATTAGTTTTGTTCTGTTCTGGATTATACTGCATAGCCTACTGTGTGTCTTTTTCTGCTGTTATTTTATTGCATGTGTGAAATATATTTCTTTTTTCCTGATGTGGTTTGTGGAAGCCAGTATCTTCACTCTGGATATACCATATACTATGCATACATGAAGCTGTCTGAACCATGTATATTAGAAACTTTAGGAAAAAATAGAAGATGAGGTGAATAAGAGTTAGTCAGCCTTTCCGGAGGTCTATCACCACTTCTGTTTTTGAGAATGTAAATATTTTAAATTGACAAACCACTGTTTGGTGTATTTTTCACAGTTAAGCCATGTGGCATGAGAGAGTAAGTATGAACCTGTGTGTGTACGGGGACCCAGAACAGGGCTCAGGACTTGTCTAGCGCTAAATCCAAATTAGTAAACTCCAATCCGACGTTACAACGTGGTACTTGTTATTACTTTTACCGTCAGGCAGCTCAGAGATCCTGTTGGTTAGCAGTAAATCTCACCAACCTCTTTTAAGCCTCACCAGTATTTGTAGTGATGCTTGAAAATGGTAACAGGCTTCTAAGGATACTCAGTCAATTGTCTTCCTTCACCCCCCAGGTTCCTCAACTGTACAGAATCAAGGGGTATCAACCCTTCTCTGTCCAGGAGTCTTCGACAAGTTACAAACCTGAAAAGCTTGCTCGAACCCTGAAGCAAGGAGCTGAGGTAACCCACCCCTACCTTCAAGAGTCACTCTCCATTTCCCCTTTTGTCCTGGCGTCAAGACTAATGCCTGCTCTGGGTCTTCGTACAGGACGAAGTCACCACCATCATAGTCCTTCCAAAACAGGACTCCATGCCTCAGCCCTCCAGCAAGACCTCCGTCTTGAACATGAAACCACCTGAAGCCTTGGCCAGGTCTCCAGAGTATGATCCGCTGTATATTTTTGTAAGTTAAAATTGGCAGAATTCTTTGTTCTATGTTCCTTTATTTCAGCAATTACTTTATAAGAAAAGAGCATCATTAATTGGGGATTTTTTTTCTCTTTGGAATTTCAAGCATTAAATGATAACTCATCTTTGAAGCTGCTTTCTAGCATTTATTGTTTAGAATATCAATGTTTCTATCTTTCAACAATTCTAGTATATATTTTTATGATAATAGCTTTAAGATCTTTTCTAATTACATATATGAAATCTTCCAGTTCATGAACATGGGATGTCTTTCAACAATTCTAGTATATATTTTTAAGATAATAGCTTTATGATCTTTTCTAATTACATATATGAAATCTTCCAGTTCATGAACATGGGATGTCTTTC